CCCCCGAATAAACGTTTTCAAAAACATACTCCAGGTCAAACGGAGCCCCCCCCCCCCCCCCCCCCCCCAAAGACCGATCAAACCGCCCTTTCCAAAGAGAGAAGAAAACCCATCTCCAATGCAGAGCCCATCATCGAGACGCAACTAAACAAATGGTCCATCAACCCGCATCTTTTACATCCAAAAACAAAACAGGCAACAGCCTCACTTCGTCAAGTCGTCAACGTTTTCGTGTACGCCCAGATATTGAATGTTGATCCCTTAGAAATCAATAAACAGATTACCATACCTACAAGAACACCCAACTAGTTAGCCACAGAAGCGTCCCAAACACACGCATAGGAGAAAAAAAAAAGGGGCATCACTCACTCATCATGACCGCCCGGACCCCCGTACTTTTCAGGGTCCTCGGGGTATCGGTCAAACTGGCTGGCATCGCCGGATCCAGCCTTGACTGGCGGCGTATATGGAGCATCAATGTCTTTGCGCGCCAACCGGTCCCACGTGACTTCTGCAAACCACGGGTGGTTCTTGACGTCTTGTGAGCCTCCAAACAGATTGCCCAGTCTCTTGGTCAAGTCTGCCGTGATGAGCCGCTCGAGCAGGTTCTGGGCATCCGGGTTGATATACGCCGGGTACTTGACCTTGCCCTTGAGGATGTTTTCGTATATGCGCATGGGAGAGCCGCTGTCCCAGAACGGCGTGTAACCGCAAAGCATCTCGTATATCAAAATTCCAAGAGACCACCTGGGACAGACATGTTCAGTTTCGTTCATCCAAGCCCCGAGTCAACCATTACTTACCAGTCTACAGACTTGTTGTAGCCCTTGTTAGAGACCACTTCAGGAGCCAGATAATCTGGTGTTCCGCAGAGCGTCCACGTCTTGTCCGGCACCCGCTTCGCGAAGCCAAAATCGGTGATTTTCAGGTGTCCGTGCCGATCCAGCAGCAAGTTTTCGGGCTTCAAATCGCGGTAAATGATGTTTTTAGAGTGCAGGTATTCCAATGCCAACGTGGCCTCGGCGGCGTAGAATTTGGCGACCGGGTTGGGAAACCGCTGTAGTTGGGGAATTTCCCGTCAAGTTAGCCAAAGGGGAAAAAAGAACTCATAGTCAAACCAAGTAGACACTTGACACAGAAGAAGAAGAAGAAAAAAACACTCGTGCAAAACAGTGGACAGGATGGACTTGTTCGTACCCCGGATTTTCTTAGCAGCGAAAACAACTCGCCGCCCTCGACAAAGTCCATGACCATGTAGAGGTTCTTCCAGTCTTGAAAGGTGCCCCACAGGGTGATGAGGAACGGGTGCTTGACGTCGCTCAGCATGCGGCGCTCGTCGTTTGTGTGCTCGACCTGCTTCATCTTGACCACCTGGGCCTTCTTGAGCACTTTGACGGCGTAGAAGCGCTGGTTGTGCTTGGACTGGACCAGGTGAACGCGGCCGAAGCTACCGGTGCCGAGCGTTCTCAGGATCTCAAAGTCGCCGAGCGAATACTTGCCCTTGGTGACGCGGGGCTGGGATAGCGATGCGCTGTGGCCGTGGTGGATCTGGTGATGCTGCTGGGGTTGTTGCTGTTGCTGTTGTTGGGGTTGAGGTTGCTGCTGCTGTTGGGGTGGTTGTTGTTGTTGTTGTTGTTGCGGCTGCTGTTGCTGTTGCTGATGAGGAGGATCGAGCTGCATTTCCGACGACAAGTGTTGTTGTTGTTGTTGTTGCTGCTGCTGCTGTAGGAGCTGCTGTTGCTGCAGCTGGGCATTGTGGTCGGCCATCTGGGAGCCTACGGCAGCGGTGTTCTGATACGGCGAGGGGGGGTAGCCGTTGGTCGAGCCGTCATTCTGGGGCGAATTGATGAGGTTGCTGATGCTGGGGAGGTTCTGCGAGTCGTGGCCCGGCGCGTACGAGTGAGGCGGCTGAACGTTGACGGGATTCATGGCTGGCTGGCGGTCCGAATCAGGAGCAGCGGTGGGAGGAGCGGCCGTGGCCGGGTCTCGCGCGGCAACAGCGGCGGCGGCGGCGGCGACGGCAAGAGAGGGAGCGGGAGTTGAGGCTTGTTGATCCGAGGCTGGCAGAGGCGAGGTTGTCGAGGTCAAAGTCGAGCCCGGCGCAGGAGCTGGCGTGGAGGACGCGGGTGCGGAGGCGGGAATGGGAGCTGGAGTGGATGCGGACGGCGAGATGGAGCCAGGCGAGACGGCGACGGTGCCTGGACCTGGACCTGGGCCTAGAGCACCTGGGAAGTGATTGCTGTCGCCTGTAGCCGCTGGACCTGTAGCTGTTGGAGCTGGACCTGTGGCACTCGTGCTCGACCCGGGCGTCACTCGCGGCTGTGTCGAGTCCAAGTGCCTCGAGCCCGGCGTGGGTGCGACGGGGCTGGTGGGGTGGGCAGCGCTCAAGCTATTGCCGTTACTGGTGCTGGTGTTGGTGCTGGTGCTGGCTTTGGCTGAGGGGTCAGAGCTGCCCTCCTTTGTCCGCTTCTTCTTGAGGAATGAGCCGAAGGAAGGCATAAGGCTCGAAGTTGTGGCCGGGGGGGAGGGAGGTGAGGGGATTGGAGCAAAAGGATGGAATTAAAAAAAATTATAGTGAGACCAAGCCGCAAACAGGGCGTGGGGAGAGCGAGGGCAATTAGGTTGAGGGGGAAGCGCTCGAGTCGATTCGATTCGATTCAACTGTCTGTTCCGTTCTCGCCGATCTGAGCAGAGGGCGAGTACCCGACCTGTGCTGCTGAGCTTGGGGAGGTACCTCGTATATGGATGGACCAGACGGGATGCAAAAGATGGAGCACGCTGGACTGGGCTGGACTGGGCCTGGGGAGAAAAGTTGGGGGGGGTTTTGTAGCGTCTGGTGTCGTTCGTCGAAGGATGGCGGGCTGGAGAAGAGGCCTGGGGCGCTGGCTTATGGTGCTATTTAGGCGGGGGGGAGGAGAAGAACTCAAGCTGCTGGTGGCTGCTTTCAGGGGCCGAGGCAGAGTTTAGCAGTCGAGTTCAGTTCGTGCAGTGCTGGGGGAGCTTTAGCGTCTGTGCAGCTGGCTGGAGCAGGGAATCGGGATTGAAATGCAGCACGAGAATTGGATTGATGGTTCTGATGGGCCGGCAATTGGCGGTTGCAGGGCGTCAATTGGTGATTGAACCGTCGAGTCTGTCTGATGCAATCACCAGAATGCGACTGGAACAAGAACTGGCTGGTCCGAACTTGCCTCCTCTTGCGCACGTACCGCCTTGGAGCTCGAGCTGAGATTAGAAGCTGTTTCCCAGCAACTGAGGCGGCAACAACAACAAGAGACTGATGCGGCACAGCGGCACTTTGGCTGCCTGGATCGGTTGCGGCGCTGCGAATCGGTTTGGCGAGATTTGGATCCAATTGCCTGGTCCCTTGCTTCTTCGCTTCGGTAATTTTTTTTTCTTTTCTTTTTTTTTCTGTTCTTGCTCTTCGTCTGCTTCTCCTTGCTTCTTTCGCCTTGGTTCTTTTGCCCTCAGCCGAGTCTTGAGCTTGACCCTCAATAGATCCCGTTCGTCTGTTCTTTGCTCTGCTCTGCTTGGGCTCTTCGGCAATTCAAAATTCCTCCGATCAAGTCAGTCCCAGTGCTCAGACCATGCGCTGCTCCCGACTCAATACGAAGGTCCCCAAAGCCAAGCAATCAGCTCCCAATTCGCTGGAGCCCCACGGCAGTCCTCGGGGGGAGCAATCGAATACCTAGCTGAAACACTGCAAATTTCGTTGCCGAGTATTGACGCTTAATGTCGTCGTCGGGGCTGGTCAAACGTCCGGTTTGAATCCTCTCTGGAAGCATTCATCAATTGACATGAAGCTTCCACTGGGTGATCGGAGCTGCATGCGTATCGCCCTGTCTCTCTCTTTGTTTTCCTCCCTGGACCAAGCAATCGCTGAATAAGCGATCGTAGATGTATGATGACGCTAGGTGTAACTTGGACTCTCTCTAGCCGAACTAATGATGCAAGATGATGATGGGCAATGAAGCGAGATCTGGTTTGGAGGACACTATCGGTTCGACAAATAGATGTTGAAAAATACCCTTTTCTTGGATGTGGGATCAATCCCTTTTGTTCTTCGTTCTTGTTCTCTCTACTCCGTAAGTAGTTATTTTTTTCCTTGTTGCAATCAAAAAAATCCTGAAAGCAGTCGTGACTCGCAGCAGCAACGAGACGATCCCTCACCGAACCAGCCGTTGATGTAAATCACACGAGCTAAGCCGCCACACTTTGCGGGGGAAGTCAGATTTCAGCTACTCGTACACAGGCATTCGCGAAAACCGGGCAAAATCCCATGCTCGGTGAAACAATGCCCGGGGTGTGATTCAGTGGAAACGCATAAATTCTGACAAGGACCTGCGTTCGAGCCAAGAAGCTATAGTAGCTATGAGTTCTCAAGTGGATGATCAAGAAACAAGAGAAAATAGACACGACAGCTCAATGCATGAACCGGCGACGAATGAGTCCAAACAGCATTGCACCACCTCTAGACCCAATTCCAGTGGTGTAGCCGAGTTTGTCTAGTTACACCTAGCTCAGACTCTCTTTTCCCCTCATTCTTTGACTCGCACTCGTTTGCTCGATTGGCGATGCTCTTGGTGACGCCATCAAAACTCTGAATTGTCCACCGAGCAATGCGGTGCTTCTTGACTCCCGGGAGCGACGGCCCTGGATTCTCCTCAAGCAGGTAGTCCTTCTACACAGCTGCCTCTTAGCATTGCTTGCGGCAAATCTACATACTCCGTAGCTTTTACAATATCCATATTCCGAGACTAAGACGCTTCGGGACAGCTCTGTTCTCTTCGTCAAGCTCCCTTTTCACTCAATCAACATGTCCAACATCACATCATCAATCATCAAAATGAAAAACAAGATTGGACCAGTAAAGCCGTTATTTCGCTGCTTAGAATGCGCTCTTACCCATCAATCAATTTCCTCCGCCTCCTTACTTGATTTCCGTGCCATCATGATAAAAAACCCACCACCCCGTGCCGGTCAAGCAATGTATCAAATCACAAATGGCCCAACTCCCAGCACAAAGTAAATCCCCGACAGCAGACATGGCCGGCATCCAATACTAGCATGCTTTTTATGTGGCAACGACGTCTTCCCGCCTAACCCATCGATCGTTTGAATTATATAAATCCCTTCGATAAGGCCCCTGCCTGCGTCAGTTTGCTGAGTGAGTCCAACATCTGCCTCACTCGTCACCCCTCCCACACGTTAACAGGTTCGAAAACAGTGGCCCCGCCTAGAATCTGTGGCTCTTGGTCTTCGACCTGTACGCGGTGAAGCCCGCATATCCGCCGCCCACCACGAGGAAAAACAAAAAGATCTTGGTGAAGAACCAGGTCCAGCTTCCGCCGCTTGCGTCGTTCTTGGCCTTGAACTGGTTCCTCGTGTTCGCCTTGCCGGGGCCACTGGCAGTCGGGCTGCTGTACAGGTTCTTGGCAGAGATGGAGATGATGTCGTGGTGGTCGCTCAACTCGCCCGTCTCGGCGCTGAAGCCCAGGTAGGCAATGTTGGGGATCGCGGGGGGGTTGTCCACCTCGAAGCACACCAGCCAGTCGCCTACCGTCTTGTACTGGAGCTCGAGCTTGAGGCTCTTGTCTTGGAAGTAGGTCAATCGCATCTTGGTGGGGATGCTCGAGTGGCGGAGACCTCTGGCCGAGCAGCCAGCCAGCTCCGTCTCCTTGCCGTCGTTGTTCTTGTCGTAGGACTTTTGTCCGTCTCCAAACATGGCCATGACGTAGGGGAAGACGACGCCGGGGCGGTTGTTCTTGTACGTGTCGATGAAAACCCCCAGGCCCTCGAACTTGTCGGCGTGGCCAAAGACGGGCCCGAGCTGGCCTCGCTGCTTGGTGATCCACATGGCGAAGCCGTCGCCGTAGAGCTGGTTCTTGCCATGGATCTTGAACTCGACCTCGATTTCCCAGTTGGTCGCTGTGAGAGGTACTCGTGAAAAGAGCCAGCCGTTTTGCGAAGGTCGATCGGAGGTGAGGCGGATATATCTGTAGCATTGGTTGAGCTATTGGGTCGCATAGAGTGAGCGCGCTGGACATGAAACGTACGAGTCCGTTCTAATGATTGTATCACCGCCGAAATCGAACCATCGGCTCTGCATGTCAGAGTCCAGGTAGGGCTAGAAAAAAATAGCACAACGCCCGTTAGCTTCCTCATTGTTCTCATTTGTTCGCTCTCCCTCCCCCCCTTTCCTCTGCATCGATTTGCGACTGACTTGTTCGAGAGTGTGCGTCTTGAGCTGCGCGCGGTTCGTTAGCCCACAGCCATTCCTGCGCAATCCATGTCCGAGATCAAACCAACCGTTATGCTTCTAAAGTCGTCCTGGGCCGCCGCAGTCCACGCAAACGCCGTGGCGAGCACGGCCGACAGCGAGGAGAGCCGCATCTTTGGCGCGATTGTGACGCAGATTTGATCCAATGGTCGGGCAGTCGGCGAGGTCACTTGGAGATCGGCACGGGATCTGATACCGCCTCTCTCGTCGTCCGGATTTTTTGGTGTTTTTGGGAATAACAAAAGCAACAAGCACCGGCCAGTGATGCGGTTCACATGGGAGGCTCCGAAAGGCCACAATTCGTGTTAAGCCCGCGACACAGTGCTATTCCTCAACGAGCTAGACTGTGGAGGCCCGGAGGTATCCGCCCCTACTAGCACCTGCTGGAGCTGCGCCGGGTGCTTTGGTACCTGTAGGTATATTTTGTTTGACGTGCACATGGGTTCTGGGAATCATGGCGTTTTATTTTAGTATTTTGTGCTTCTTTTTATCTTTAATACCTCGACAGTGTGTCAATTGGCAACTTTCAAGTCTGCTGTACCAACGCTGCGGAAAATTCACCTCTGATACCAAGTCACACATCGGGTATCGGTACTTGAAGGAGACGACTTGTACGCCTGTAGTGGGGCATTATACACTGTGCTGTCTCAGGACATGTTTGAGGCACGAGCTCTCGAATACTGGTATGTGATCCATGAATGTAGTTTTTATTGAATGAATACTACTTGTCTACTAACTTTGAGACAATCAATTTGCTGACAAGGTGTTTTAGAGCATGCATTTTGCCGTGATTTGACCAGGAATCACAGTTCCATCTAGGCAGGTAGTCACATGTCAGATACCATATGCCGTATGCCATAGCTCACAAGATCAGTGTCACAATGCGAACAATACAACCAACTTTAGCCATCTGGAGGCAGCAGGCCACTGGAAATAAAATAAGTCGGTATTTGTATTTTTTTTATCAAGAAATTGAGTGACGCTATGCAAGTATATACGGTAACATACCTCATCAACATGCTCCAGCTTGTGGCATTACCTGATGATGAGTAAGTGTTCATCATTGAATGACAACGAACTAAGTGAGGGAGAAAGAATACTATAAACATATAAATATTTATATTAAATATAATACACATAGATGAAGAGTCAATAAAAATTCATTCCATGTTCCGTACCATCCAAATTAGAATCTACACCTCGACTTCACAACTCGAACTCGCCCAATTCAGCCGCACCGCCGCACCACTAGCTCCCCAAACGCCACACACCAGCCACAGCAACTTTGCAACTACTCGAACATCTTCAACCATCTCCAAAATCTTCAATTCCTCCTACCAGACAATTTCAAGCCCAACCAAATTCCTCCTCCAGAAAAAAAAACCAAACCGCCCATAAAGCCTCCTCGCAAACCCCCCCAATTCCAAAAATGTCCGACTCCTCCTCCATCAAGCAATCCGTCATGAAGCAGGTCCTCGCGGAAGCGAACCTCGCCAACGCCCGAGTCCTCATCGAAGTACGCAAAATCCCCCACCTATCCACCCTTCATATAGTGATAAGAAGGAAAACTAACAATTCCTTTTTCTTTCTTTTTTTTTTGCTATACACAGAAACTCCAAGAAAACTGCTTCGAAAAATGCGTCCCCAAGCCCGGCGGCTCACTCTCCAGCAGTGAACAGACGTGCATGACGTCTTGCATGGAAAAGTACATGGCCGCTTGGAACCAGGTCAACGCGGCGTACATCAACAGGATACGACAGGAGCAGGGAAACAACTAAAAGCATTCAATGATACTAAGGAGAACGAGAAATGATTGGAAGAAACGGGGAAAGCAGAAAATCCGAATTTGGATAATGAATGAACGAGCCAGAAAAGACTGGACCGAAGAGATGTATTGTATGATACGGTTCAGACGGATGAATGGGGCTGGAAAGAAAACATAAAGGGAAAACTGCGAAAAGGCCAGATTCAATTGGTCTTTGAGTCTCCCTCTGACGAGCTTTTGTATTATTACTCTTTATTAGAGTGGTCTTGGGTGCCACGGCGCGGATCTCGGGACGGGACATAGAGCATAGAAAAGGGATCATCCACTCTACCTCTTGAAACATTGAACTGCCTTGCGACTCGTATATCATTACATTGTGTTTTGGGTATCTATATGTACATATATATGGATGGATGGATGTATGCGTATATCGTCATCCATACCATCACTCCGCCGCCTCCTCAGCAGCCTTCTTCTTCTTCTCCTCCTCCGCCGCCCTCTTTCTCGCGAGATACCTCTCCTTGGCCCCCATAATCTCCCCCTCCGTCTTGCGCGTCTTGGCCGCCCGCTCTGCCTCCTCCCTCTTGACCTCCTCCGTCTCTCGCGTGCGCTTCAGCGACGCCTCCAGCTGTTCCGCCAGCATCCGCGACTGCCGCTCCCTCATGGCCTGCTTCCGGCCGAGCTGCTGCCCTGTGATTTCCCGGCGCTCCCGCTCCACCGGCCGTTCAGCTTCTCGTTGCGCCTCCACCTGCTTCTTTGCGCCGACGTTGAGGCCGCCCTTGAGCAGTTGTCGCTTGTCGACGACTTGGCCGTCCTCGTTGACGGAGATGGAAGCGCCCTTGTCATTGAGCTCCTGCGCCGCCTTGGCATATTCCTTTTCCTTGTCATCATCGGCCTCTCCTCCATCCTCTCCACTAGCCTCTGTAGGGCCTCTCTTTGCCATTTCCTCCGCTGCTCGAACCGTCTCCGCATGTCTCTCCTGCTCCTTGTCCAGCAGCTTCCGGTAGAAAGACGCCATGCCAGTGCCCTCATTCTTCTTCGCCTCCTCCTCTTCTTTCCTGCGCTCCTCCTCCTCCAATTTCTTATTCTCCTCCTGCTGTTTCTTGTATGCCTCCGTCACGAACTTCTCCTTGTCGGCGAACTCGTCTCCCTCGGCTTCGCGCTCCCGCGCAATCTTCTTCTCCTCGGCAATCAGCTGGTCTCGTTTCCGCACGTCGGCCGCGCGCATCAGGTTCTTCATGTATTTCGGTTTTCGCTCCTCGTCTTCCTTAGACTTATTTTTCTGAGGCTTCATGGAATCGTATATAGAGTCGTATTCGTAGACGCTGGCGTCCAGTTCGGTAGCCGCCTCGGCGTTTTTGCGCGAGGCGAGTGTGCTGGAGAGATCGCCAAACATTGTGCTCGTTTGAGGTTTTGATTTCAGCTTTGGTGGTTCATTCACGAGACCCTTTTTTGATTTGGGTCCCCTTGTTGAGTCTGGTGGCGCTTGAGCTGGGGCAGATGTGAAGTCATCCAAATCGCCGCCAATTTCTTCAATGTTGGAGTCTTTGGTAGTCCCTTCATCGTCTGAATCATCGCCGTGGTTGTCAAACATGGGTTTCGACCTCGAAGGCATCGGCTTGGATGCGCCTGGCTTTTTCGTCAGGTTGAGCCCGAAGGCCAGCTTTGGTTTATTCATCGCCTCGACTGGCTTCGAAGACTGTGATGATGTGACGGATTGGTCGACCCAGATTCGCTTCTGCGGTATGGAAGCAAGTGATAGGAAGTGATGATAGCAAAGGTGTGCGTAGAGGAACAAGAAAGTCACAACATGCAATTCCAATTTGGAATATTCTTGGTAATGAAAAGTGAAGAAAAAGAACAAAAGCTTCCAAGCTTGTCGGCGCGCTGACCATGTACATGTACCGGAACCGAAGCACCGAATAGACGCGCGCCAGGCGGCTCCGCAATTCATCTCTGGATCCAATCCATATTAACAGTTTTTGACAGAGACAGCCTAGGTCCCGGGTAGTCTGTAAAGTGCGAGGGATCTCAGCAGCTCGGCTTAGCCACAGACGCATTCATTACAATAACAATACCAAGTCCATCTCGCCATTCTTCCACTAATAAAGAACCAAAAAAAAAAACCTCCAGCTCCGGCGCCTTTCCCAATAGCTTCTCCCCCCAATGTGGCGACAAACAACCCAGAACAAGCAGCTTGTCATCTGCCATGACGTGATTGGCCCCCCATGTTGTCTCTCACGGCCAACTCGAGTATGTAATCCAAAAGCGGCGATTAAAACCCGTCTATTAATACAACCTTAGTAGCAAGCACTCTGTGTGTTCAGCTTAGGTACTAAGATAGCAGTGCAGGTGTCTCAAGATAACTAAAACTCACAAGACCGAAGTTCGTGCTCTCTCATGCCTGTCACGAGGACAAACCTCAGGTCTATTTCTACCTCCGATTCCAGTTCCAACCTCTGCTTCTATACGTCTCGCAACTATTAAGAATACTAGGTACTAGGAATATCATGGAATACTGCAGTACCTGCACGGGCAGCCTTGCCTCGTCGCCTCCATATTCGCAAGACGCCGCATCTTTCCCGCAAGACCGGAGAGTAGAGTGCTGTTCCCGAGTTATCTGCGCAAAGTGTATACAGGTTCGTTATTAGCCACAACTCGAAGCCTTGTCATCAACATGTTGCTAATCCGCGCAATCATCTTTTAGAGCTACCCGCGCTTTGCGTCTTACTGTCCATTCTGCCAAGTATCAAGCACGCCCTCGCCGTTACCGCAAGGCCTTCGGGATCCTCCTTTGTATACCTCGGTCCCAGGTCCGGGGTCCAGATCCATCCCGGCTTCTGCTCCCCCGCCGCCGTACAAATCTGTAGATGATGCGCCAGCCAAGAGCAACAACAAAAGCACGCCCGAGTTCGATGAGAAAGCTGCCCTAGACGACACTCTCCATTTCTTGGACCATGACCACGACACTGTCCAGTCGCTGTCGCTGCGGTATGGCGTGCCTCCCGCAGCGTTGCGGCGGCGAAACAACCTCACCAGTGATCACCTGCTGGTCGGCCGAAAGACGATCCTGATCCCCGGCGAGTTTTACAAGGGTGGCGTCAGCCTGTCTCCTCGGCCGGTCGAGGGCGAAGAAGAGGAGCTGAGAAAGGGAAAAATCCGGCGCTTCATGACGCTTTGCAAGGTGGCCGACTATGATTACGCTCTGTTGTATATGGAACAGGCCGGTTATGATATCGATGCCGCCATCGTCGCTTACATGGACGATGAAGCCTGGGAGAGGACTCATCTCAACCAGCGGGGGATGAGTGCCGATGCCAACAAGGTCAAGAGCCGCGGGCTGTTTTGGAGGGGCCTGTAAATCCTTGGCAGCTGGTCTTCTGGCGCATATTTGCTTTCTTTGCTCTTGGGGAATTTGGGACATTAGAATTTCGTATTGCATGTAAACGTGCAAAATCTGCACGAGCATCGTCTTGGATGCCTTCTGCCTAGCCTAATGGGCATATATCATCCTGTATGTAACGCCATCATCCCTGAAACCTACTTAGTTACACCATTTCATTGCCATATATTCCACATGATAAAAAATCAAAGCAAAAGTAAAAACCAAGGCTCTTAAAAGGCAGACCGAGTTCGGATGTCCTAAGTATGAAATGTTAGCTTGTGTTCTGCCGTGATAATGCAAGGTGCAGGTGGCAAAGGTAAGCTCTCACCGATATTTTCCGCTCAATTTCTCGGACAGAGCGGTCCAGCTCCCCTGCAATCATTTGCTTCTTGTCATTTGGAAGCAGGGCGTATCTCTCACAGAGATCGCCGTCGATGATGCCCTTCATGGGTGCATAGTAGCTGCGATACATTAGGTGGTCTCGGCCCGCCAGAGGAGGATCCTCGGCCCTCATATGCTGTTCTAGACTTTGGAAGAAGTCTGTATCTTCTCGCGTAACAAACGGAATCAAAACACCAATCGTGCCCATGAGTCCGCTCCACAATAGGACGTCCTGCCCTCCAACCACCAAGCTGGTTTTGGCAATACTCGTTGGAATGTCCTGAGTGAAGAGGTGGCACATCAGATCCAGGCGATGAGAGGTTCCGTGGAGGTAGTCTCTCGCGTTGAGTAGATGGAGTCCTGCTTGCTCCTCATCGGCCTCTTCACTGGCCTTCTGTGGAGAGCGCACGATGAAGATGTTGCCGAATTTGTCTCCACCGGCAACGGTCTCGTAATCTACCATCGTTGTGCACGTTGTCCATCTGGCGATGGTGTCGTCCACGAAAGGAATGAGCTTGTTTGTTGACTGCTTGTAGACAGCGTAGGTTATGCCTTGCTGCACGTCTCCGACAACAATTCGGTTGCCTTGTGTACTTAGAGAAATGATCTGCTGCGGTGCGACTTCGGCTTGGGATTTTCGTAGCAGCTGCCGCATACCGAGATCGTATATGCGGAGTGTCTTTCCAATGCCCACCAACACTCGTCCTTGGAAAGGTATCATGGCCATGGGAGGCTCTTCGACCTTGGTTTTATGGATGAATACTAGACCCCTACCGTCGCGCTCGAACCGGTAGATATGGACGAATGCGTCAGAAAAACTGCGAGGGTTCACGACCATATCTTTACCGGTTCCAACGACCAGGAAGGTTTCGTTCTCCTGACTGGCAAACGTAACGATGGCCACGCTAACTGCGGCCTCATTCTCTTCCAGGTCTACTCTTTGCAGAACTTGGCCGTCTTCGGCTAGAGGGTCAACAACGCTGATACACGAGGCCCAGCGTCGGTTGCCTCTGGGGTGCCCAAATTCTTCTGGTGGAAGGACCTTGGTTTCCCCATTGACACGTGCTGGGTCTGCAAGCAATTTGGCGCAGAGCTCAGGAGCAAGAGTGTGATTATCCGCCTCAATCACATAGAAAAGAGGATGATCTGGATGCTTCACCATCTTCTTGGGCGTGTAAGTCAAGGGAATTGAACTCTGGATGAGTGTGTCCCCAAGTCGGTCGACAGAGAAAATCCTAGTAGTCATCAGCATCTGTAATGGCACGCTTCTGATATCAAAACAAAAAACAGATGATTGAGTGCCTTTCAGTAGGAACAATTGGAAAAAAAATGCGTAATAAGAACCTCATAGCCTATAGGCTTGGATCCCATATTTTTCATCATTTGGCACGACAGGAGAAAGGAGAAAAAGACGTCAATCACTTACCGTAGAGTTTGCCCCTGAATACCCACGACGCCTTCCTCACACTGCTCGCTTGTAAAATTCCAGCCCCATTCTAGATCAACATAGTTAAGGGGAGTGACAACAAAGGTCTTGGTGATGGGATCGGCATATCCTAGCCATGGTCGAGAGCTAAGACCAAGTACACAAGTCCTTCCCTGGACCGTTACCTGGAATAGTCTCACTTGCTTCGGCCCCAGAAACTTCTGCCGCGTGTCTGTTAATTCACCAGTAACTTCATCCAAGACAGTCCGCAAGTAGACGCCTGAGTAGAGGCCGATGTGTAGGTAGAGGGTGGAGCCGCCTGATGACGAGTCTTCCATGGAAATGATGGCGAGGGAGGTGGGTGCCGCTGTCAGTGCTTGCACTGACTTGTTTTCGAGAGTAGACTCCGGGTCAAGGCTTAAAATGCGAACTGTGCAGTCGTCACAGCCGACTGCAAGGAACGAACTTCGCAATCTGCCTTCGGGAACTTCGCCTAGGCTCAGGCAAGTAACTGTTCCAAACATTTCCTTCTTCTCGTCGTATTCTGCCAGTGAACCGTCATCATCCATCTCAAAATAGACAATTTCACCAGAGCTTAGGGCAATTGCTACTTGGTGGGCATTGGTTGAAGCGGCCACGATAGAACGGTGCTGCGGAGCGTCCCACTGGTTGACTTGCCCATTACGGATATGCCTAATACCCTTGGGGTGGACTTGGATCAGACCATCATCACCGAGCAGCTGGGCAGCCAGGGTTGGGACACTGGTAAGAAAGCCAGAGTCGCTGACTTCTTCCACCGTCTCTCCTATACTGAGGACAAGAGTCCCGTTCGTGAAGGAGAGGACAATGTAGGCATCATACTGTGCAGCTCGATTCAGCTTCAGCGTCCAAACAGCAGATGGGATGCCGGGCAGCTCAGAGGACACGATTTCATTAATCTCAAGCCCGTGCTTCAGTGTCCGGAATGTGCTTCGAGCACCGTTGCCACAAATGGTGTAGATCTGAGGCGCATCCTCGTTGGTCAGGTTGGCAACCTTGCAGTCAAGAAGAGGGTTCATGGAAGGAATGCTCTCGACGAGGACCAGGTTTTCCAATGGCCGAGGATAGAAGTAGACAGGATTATACGAAGCCTGTGCATCGACGGGGAAATCGTCGCTGGTAAACTCCAACTCTTCGTCATCGTCTCCAAGTTTTTCGAATTGGTAGAAGGAGAAGTTTCCAAATTGGCTGGCAACATAGAGGAAGCCGCTCTTCATAATACACAGACTAGCTGCGGCCGGGACTGTATCGAAATACTTGATTTTGAGCCTTCTAACTTCGCCTGTAGTGTTGCCTTCTTCGTCCTCTACCATGTCGATTGTGACCTTGAACATGTCGCCGTCCTCGGTCTGTAGTAAGAAGAAGAAAGCGCCAGCGCTGCCCTTGAGCTTGTGCATGACACCAGAGATGATGGTGCGCTTTCTGGACGGATCCTCCGTTGCTCCTCGTCGGCGGGGAATTGGCACCCGGAAAGCCTCTTGGTTGGAATGGCGGTATGTGATGTTCTCCTCGCCACAAACCAGGACGCCACTGGGCCCATCATTACCACCGGGTACCTGGAATAGCAGCGAGGCAGTCGAGTCTACAGGCTCCGACCACTTTCTCACAACGTGATTGAGACCGAGATCAAGCTCATAGTAGACCAGCTGAGTTTCCAGCTCTCGCAAAGCTTCCCCTGTAGCATCTTGGTCCGCCTCAGTATAGTCCACCTCTAGAGCAGCAAACACGGGATTGGCATATCCAACATCTAGTGCCACCATAGAAATGACCAAGACTCCAGGCTTGTGAGCCTCGAGGGGCGAGGAGATGGTGAGCTCTGCTTGGGAGTTTCGATTGAGCACGTATACGAGCTTGTTCTTCTCAATAGACGCAATGAGACACGCGCGCCCCTTGGGGTCACAGGCGAGATATTCTCCAGGAATAACTCTCCGCACGCCAGACTTTCCAAAAGTCTCCAGATGCAGCTTGTGGAATCGATTCTCTTTCGGAAGATACTCAAGAATCGTGATCCGACCAGAGTCAGTTGCTAAAATTAAGTAGTCTGGAACACCATATTAGCTCATTGGTCGCGAGATGATAACACATCTCCGCTCTACAGGAGGGTGTATGTTTGGTAGGGTGCGTTGTAAAGCTTTTTTTTTTTATCTTCACCATCACTATGTGGACCCTCCAAAAATAATGGGAGCTGAGTAACTCACCCTTATTGCTGCCCGCCAGGCGAAAGGCCGCCAACGACCTGATGATGCCGAAGATGTCATGAGACAACAGTGTGATGACCTTCCCCTGCGACGGGTCAGGCCGTAAGAGAGCCAACCGTGACCCGGCGCCCGTGATGATGAGCTGCTCCTTGGTGCCCGCGAACTGACCCAGAACCGCTTGGACGACATTGGTTGGCGGCTGGATCGTCAGCGAGTAAAGGAACATGTTAGAAGTGGTCGCCATGTTCCTGACTGGGCGCAGTCAAGCCTGCGCGGCTTTTCAGAAGCTTGAATGGCCGATTGAGCAGCTCAGTCGCGTTGGGAAGCGGTTGTTGTGTGGGAAAATCAACAGGCGGAGCTCTGCTTGAGATTTGATGCTAAAAGTTTGGAAAAGGGCCGGAAGAATGGAGGAACGATAATGCGGCGGTGGTGCGAGGGTGGTCCGAGCTCCTTGCAAATTGCGCCCATTCAGTCCAGTCTTTTTTATACAGGCGAGAGAGGCATGGCGGGGGGATCACTTTCAACATCAATTCGAGTCAATCAGACAATACAATGGAGCCGGCTCTGCGTCGAGCGGCTCACAGCCTGTGTGGGCGATGCTCGGCGTCTTTACGGAGGCAAACAACCGTGCGAGGCGCATTGAAGCCGTGGGCGCAAGTTTCAATCCGGAGCGTGCATTCGTGCAAGCCGCAAGATGCCAAACGTACGATTGCGGGATCCAAGTTGACAACTGCGCGAGAGTTTACATCCAGCGCGAACGCTGCTTCTGAGGCCTCTGCTGCTGGGAAGGCTCCGGTATCTTCACTTCGATTGAATCCCGACGACCTTTTCCATCCGTTTTCTGAATCGCCAGTTCCCGAATTCCGTCGCCGGGCTGCCTTTATGAAACAGCATGCATACTGTCCTCACCCAGATCACAAGCATGCCAGGGTTCCCCTCGACGCTTCGGCGGTTGACGATGCTGCTCCAGCCACTGGTGGTGATATGCCGCCTGCGAATGTGGATTTCGAGTGCCCCGATTGCGGCATTGCGGTGTACTGCAGCAAAGAGCACTGGATGGATGATTATGAGAATCACCTAAAGGTCTGCGATACTCTCCGTCAAATCAATGAAGACGATCACGATCTGCGATCCGGAAGAGTGTTCCACGAAGGCAATCTCCCCGACCTTCAAATGGAGAATGCTGCAGTCAACATGACAAATTGGGACACTTTTATGTACACTCGAGAGTTTGAGGCGGTTGACTCGGATCGCTCAATGAGACAAATCACTCGACTCCTTACATATCCGATTACCATTGGCAGTGTTCTTCATGAATTAAGCCCCTACAATATCCAAAAAGGAGGACGTTTAACGGTGGAGGGGTTGAAGAGCTTCAGTGGTAAGTGAGAGCGAACCGAGCCGCGGACTACACATGGGATTAATGTGGTGTTGGGATTTTAGCTTTGAGATATAACCTGCATATACCAAGGTCTGGCCGTGGCGCTGGCATCAACCAGCTTCGCCCAGAGCCCCCGCCAGTGAGAATATTTATTCTCGGCGCTCGAGCCGAATCATCGCTGCCACGACCTGTATGGGTGCAGCTGGCCCATCTATTCCCGGAATCGCGACTACACCTTATCTTTATCGGCCCAGAGAGCATGGCCAACCGTGACGACGAGTTCCCCCTGCCAGAGCGCACGCCGTCGAACCCATTTGGCACCGTAGTTGAAGACCGAGTGTGGTACAACATGAAGATTAGCACCATCGTGGACTATTACCACACCATTCACAAGACGGGTCACTTTGCGCCTTACGACCCTTACTTTGATTGCTTCATGCTCTTCCACCCAGGTCTTGGCCACCCTGCAAGCAGCCACGACTGGGAAGAAACTCTGCCCTTGCTGCTGGAGACCAAGGTGCCAATTATCAGCACTGGATATACCCAGGTCGACTTGGATCGTGACGTTGAATGGGTAAAGAAGAAATCAGGAGGGGAGTTTGACGTGCTGCTGGAGCCTGGAGAGAACACATTCCGGAGTCTGCGATGGGACCTTGATGACATGGACCCTCAGGACATCAGCTGTGGCAACTGGGGTGTTTGGGCGTTCCGAGGAAAGAGGTTCGTTTTGACAACGATTACATAGTGCTTTTTCTCTCTTTTTTTTTTTTTCCATTTCAGACCGGCTAACAAACTTGACAGATATGAGACGACCACGAGGGACCTATAGAGAAGAGGAAGAAAACCCAAACAAGTAGGTGGGTTTTTGATGGCGCAGGCTTGTGCCAGACGCCATGCTGAAAGAGTGTAAACCACCCACAACCATTGTACGGCTATACTGTATGCATAGATGCACCTCTCCAATGTACTATATATATCTAGGAGGCGTTTAAAAAGAGGGAGAGAGAAAGAAAACTTGTTCTACTTCAGAACCTCCAAATCTCTCGATATACTTACTGTATAGCTGCTCTGTTTGGTTTCGCCGGATATGCTGCTCGTTTTGAGAGGTGCAGATAAGCTGACTGTAGCACCTAGGTGTGTAAGTGCCCTGTCTTGCCTGTATTGCTGCAGATTTCCCGCTGAAACAGCTCGCCCACAGCGCCTAATCCAAAACGACATGAACCCACTTGACGCACGTGCGGGGTGACGTGCAGCGCACGGTGCAGCCCAGCCCAAGCCAAGCCAGTTCAAGGCCAAACATCAAACTGCATGCCTGCATATCCCAGACCTGCGACCCAACAGGCGACCCAACTTTACCTCAACGACCAGCCTCCTCTGTCCAGCTCCGTGCAGTTCCGCACAGTTCTATTTCTCTCCATCATCGCCTCTCCCGCCTCTGCGTCTCCCCGCCTCTTGCGCGCAATGATCCTGCGACGACGCCGCTCGACTCGCCGGCCATGATAGCCGCCTCCGCCTCCGCTTCAGCTCCAGCTCCAGCTCCCCCTCCTCTCGCTCCCAGAGCCTCGACGAAGCCAAAACATGCCGCCACCTCTCCGCCCCCCGAAGCCGGCACCGCAGATCGCCGGGGCACCCGTGCCGTGCCGATAGATCCGCTGTCTGATCGGGCGACGCTGAACCTCATCCGCCGGACGCTGTGCCCGCAGCATCTGGGAGACAAAGGACGAGATGCCCAGCCCGCCATCCAGGACCTGCTGCCGCCGCTGACGAGCCGCAATGATGTCGACCTGCAGCTGTACGCCTTCCTCGCCATCATCATGCGGGAGTTTGTGCAGAGCTGGTATGGCAAGATCACTGCCGACGAGACGTTTGTGCCAGAGATTCTGCGCATCATTGCACACTGCACCACGGCGCTGGAGCAGAGGTTTAGGGAGTTGGATCTCGAGAGCTTGCTCCTGGATGAAATACCAGACCTGCTCGATAGACATGCTACAGGCTAGTAGTGGTGTGGCGTCGCCCTACGCTTTAGATCTGCCACTGACTAGGTCCCAGCTCGCCGCGTGTCCTCTCGATCTGCTTTGCAATCCTCGGTTGATGCTGATCCCCGAGATGTCTACCACTCCATTTTTCCCTTGCCGTTCCTTTCCCCCGTACCTCGCTTGGATGATAACACATCTGTGGAGCTACAACGCGAGAACGAGGCGGCTTATCGTCAGTTGCTGGTCCAAGGTGTTCTGGCCATCCTGCTCCCTACTGAAGATTTGGAGAACCCCTGCCTAACGGCCCTTGTGGAACAAATATTCTCGGAGCTAATCATTGGCAATGTCATCGCCGGCAAAGCATCCCAGCCATGGCTGCTCTACGAGGCCATCTGTATCGCCACAAGGTCATTGGGTGAACGGAAAGAGAGGACAAAAGCAAGGATCGTGTCTGGGAAAGACCAGCCATCGGACCTTGGTCAGGATGCGGCCAAGTCTCAAAAGTGGACGGCCCAAGGGGTTTTCGTGTTAATTATTCACTTGGGAATCCTCTTCTTCAACGCTCTTCGGCTCATGGCCGGCACCTTGGCGGACTCCATATCGTTACCTCCCAGAACGGCGCTTCATCTCGATGAGGAAGCCGCAGAAGACACTCAAAACGACAAGCAACCACCACCATCAACGGATACGAACCTCGGGGTCAAAGTACCAGTACTTAGCTTCAAGCTTTGGGCTTGTCTTGGAAACCTGATTGAGCTGGAGGAGAGGAAACCCTGGCTGGGTGGCTTCATATCATTGCTACAGACTGCGGCCATTGATGGGCCATGGCGTATTGCGGGGCTTAACGGTCCTCTCGACAGGTAAGATACGCAAATTTCCTTGTTGTACTGATGAATCGGCTTGGCCCTTCCCCTCCAACCCCTGATCATTGTTGATTCTACTCGTCATCTCGCATCTTCTCAAAGTCACTGGACCTTCTACCCCCCCTTGCCTCCAGCGAGTGAGCTTTCAAAACAGGGTTTCTGTCTGGACGGACCGTGCCTTAGCCGGATGCCGCGTTCTTCATCTGTGGCACAAATACAATCTACATTGTGCGCACATTCGTGCCCGGCCGACGCCCTCGGAGTCTATCTAGTAGATAGGTAGCTCCATTCGATGAGAGGTCGAAATGGCTATCCTGACAGGGTTATCATGACCGGCGCAATTTGCAACCCAAGACCACACCACACCGAGCATTCTAGATCTGGGCTGCTAGCTCCCTACCTGGCTAGCCAATCGAAATGCGAGACTCGCCATCTCGGCTCCGATTGCTCGAAATTGTCGCGCCGGCCTGGGCCACCACAAAACGGCCCGTCCATCGAGAAGCCCTTATTACGCGCCGGCCTCGAACAGGGGGGGCAATCAGCTACGAGAGAAAGCGGGTCAGGACCCCAGCTGTCTAGCCTCTCACGACGAAATGGTGTTGGAAGAGCATTTCGTCTGAAAATCAAATCACCCGCTCGCCCCGTGCCGCGCCACCTCCAGGTAGCCATCTGCTGTCCATTGGGCCGACTTCCCCCAAAGCAGACAAGGCCTCGTGGTTCCTGACCGCGGCCGGTTTCTCTTGTCACACGGAAAGGAAAAAAGCCCGTTTCTCCCAGCGACTGCTCCACCACGCGTGGGCGCTCGGTGGTTAGTACCCAAGACCACTGATGGGACGCATGTCACTCGCTTCTCCTTGTCCTCCTCCGCTGGCTTGTTGCGGAAGCTGGGGTTCTCTCTGTCAATGGCTAAAGGAATCATACGAAACTACCTGTCAGAAATCAACGGACTTTGGGCGAGAACGCGCTTATGCAAGGCGGTCGTTGGCAAGTGGCCTGCGAGCCTCCTTCACCCTCCGTCCTCGCAACGACTCCTGGCTGTTGCCGCATTATCTGACCGGCATGGAGCACGACACATCACTTCTCCCACGACGCCCATTGGCAGGCCCCTCGTCACGCTATGAAGATCCAGCAGGCACCGTACCACACATCGGAGATGTTCCTTTCTTGTTTTCCCCGCACGCAACAAGGCCTCTTGTCTTGCTATCCAATCTGGTTCAACATATACCTCCATGGATCATGGATAGCATGAGGAGCTTTCTCCCCCCTCTCTGGCCTTGACCTTGACCCATGATCACATGTACCTTTCTCCATCACACCTTGAGAGAAGGGGAGCACGGATCATCCTTGACAGATGTCTCCTTTCACAAGCTAAACTTGCCAGCGAGTGGCTCTCGACGGCAACGCTTCCTTCTCGCATTCTCTGTCTCTTTTTTTCTCGTCTACCCACACACAGCATCCACCAACCCCTCCCCTTCTGAATCTCGCTTTCTTTCCCCACCTATAGCGGGCGGACGGACCCGATGGGAATATCCATTTCTTTCCCGGGCTCGCTCTTTTTTCTCTCTCTTGCTCTCTGATGGGGAGCTAAACTGAAGCTAACTAATGGTCCTTTTGCTTTTCCGTCGGCTTGTGTAGACTCCTCTCGCACCATATTCAATCTCTCTTCGATTCGTCTCATCTACCACCCATCCTTCGGTCGCTCCGAGGCGCCCTGTTTCCCAACAACAGCCCCGGCACGTCCACTCTTGTGGCTCCCCAGTCGGAGAGGGAGCTGCTCGCTCTGCGCCGTAGGGCCGCCAGCGCTATTTCGGACTTGCTCCCTGCAAGCGTGACCCGCGTGTACTTTGGCCGTCGGCATTGGCGCCTGGGCGGGCTGTTTGGCCCTGGCGATGATGCCGGATCGCCTTCTGCCGCGACTGACGACGAGGACGACGAGAAGAGGATCTTGGATGAGCTCGAGAGTCTCCTCGACGTCGTTGGGGACGAGTACTGCAACAAGCACTTGATGTATAGTGCCTTGGAACTGGTTCTTGTGAGGCTGATGCCAGAGCTAAGCGACAAGGGCGTTGTGGAGCTGCGGCAAGATAGACTTGGCTAATAAGCACCCGCGAAATATACCTTATTGGCTCTTTTCGAGCGGTATTTATTAACTGTAAAGTGCGTAAACACAACCTTTTGCGCACGTAGTACTCTGTACGGATATGAACCAGCAGTGTCAGTAGTGTATTGCCAGCTTCCGCCTACTGGAGCCCCCTGTTCCACGTCCTGCTCTCGACTCTCCACATGGGATAGAGAGACCATCGACATGTACCCAGTACACGCAGATACTCGCACACACTCGCACTCACACACAATATTCAATGTGGCCCATATTAAATGACAAAAGTTGAGTAAAAAAACGGGGATTAGCCGGTACAGTAACATAGCGAACAGCATGTAGATGCCGAGAAAGAAAATTATGTCCCCATATGGGTTCCCCCCCCGCTCCCCGAGACCCTCTTTTGGTCATTCCCATTCCCGTACAAAAAAAAAACCACATTTGATATCGAAAGCATGCTTTCTCCGTGAGGAGTATGGTGCCAAACAGGCCCTTGTAATTTTTTTTTCGGTCTTGTCTTGTTCCCTCAATTCATATCCTGCCAGAAAAAAAAAAGAAATATCACGACAAATAATGAAACGGGAAATAGTAAAAAATGGTAGACCCAAGTAGATAGATATTCTTAAGAAAATCAGGAGCGGCAGGGGAATGGAGCCCAAGGTCCTGCTTACTCCCACACCATGTCAGCGACACTTGTCCGTCTTTTTTTTTGTCCGTTTTTTGGTGTATCAAGCCCAACCAAGGGTAAGAAGAAAAAATATAAAGAAAATTCAAACGGCAGATGAAATAAGAATCAAAGCAGTAGCATACTCAGGGTGCGCGCGAGCAGCAAGCAGAAACTTTGGTCGCTAGATATGTGTTAGGAGAGTAGTGGGTGTCATCGCACTGGTTCCGAATGGTAACCAGGTAAGAAAATTGAAACGAGTGATGTATGAATGATAAAGAAAAAAAAACAGTTTTGATGCTGGTAGATCTGTTGCCAGATGAAGTCGCCTTTCTCTTTTAGTTATAACCCCGTTCCCATCCAGTCCAGTCCCTTGTCCATTCCTTAGGAGCCACTTCCGTCGCCTGCGGTGTGGAAGCGGAAGCCTCTTCATGTTATATGAAATAGGCCAGTACCGCAGCATCGATCCATGTGAAAAAAACCATCTTTGCTCTTATTCGGAGTTGTGTAGCCGGTCCGCCATCTTCTTCCCATGCTCAGTTATTTGTTTGTTCCAGAAATGCTCAAAAAAATCCGTAACGCCAGGGGAAAAAACATCTTCGATAACAGATATTAAAAAAAAAACAGGGGAACAGGCGTATGCGTGTGAAAGAAGTGAGTAGCTGATATTCGACGGACACATTTGACGTCTCCGTTATATCCCCACCATCGATGTCTCAGTCAATGATTGAATATCCCCGTCATCGCCCTCGGGGATCCTCGATAACCCTCCTATAGAAGGACGAGTAGTTTGGTGTTGGTGTAATTGTAGCTTCTTTGTAAGTTGAACGATGGTGGCGTAGTCGCTTTTGTCAAATGGCCCGTTGGGTGTCATGCTGTGCAGATAGTTTAGCAGCGTTTCCGCGGCACGTCTAGCATCCTCCGGGGTTGGAGATGTTGGCGAAGAGTCGGCAGTCGTCGACGATACAGAGCTAGTGTTTGTGGAAGGGTTGTTTGACCGTGCAGCAATACTAGAATTGCTACTGGTACGGCGTAAAGCTGGCGGCGACGATACTGTTGAGTCAAGCGTGAAGGGAGTGTTTCGGATGTCATTTGTCGGCGATTCAAGTGTTGAAGCTGATGTGACGGCAGATGGGTGTCGAGGGGTTAGTGGATCCGCACTTATATCCTGGTTCACACAGTCGATGTTAAGAGAAGGAAATGTGTTGCTTCTCTTTCCGCGATGTTGCTGGAAATCAGGGGCGGGCGGTTGTATGTGTAAACTATTTTGAAACGCTCCAATGTTGGGATCAGGTGAGAAGTGAAAGGGAGCTGTTGGGCTTATCGTATCACCAGGAAATGAAACACTTGGGTCCCTCAAATCGCCAGCCAACGATGTAGAGGAATGTGACCCAGCATGTCCATATCGAAAATTGAAATCATGCGCTTCAGCTTGCAACTCCTCATCGCTGCGGCTGGCAGACAAAGGGGAGAGCTGTTGGGTCGGAGAAACAGGAGATATGGTAGTGGTTGTTTTATCTCCCGAGTAACGTGGAATAGCTGTGGACACAGCAATGCGGTCCGGAATATTCGTTTCAGAGGCACGGCGCATCAGCCGGCCAGCCCCTATGCCGTGCTTTTGCTTGAATTTGAGAAGCCAGTTGCTGTTAATGTTAGTCAGCCCTCTGTCTTGGCTGCCGCTAGCTCGAGCAAAGAGCCTTGCTTGTTCGATTATCTCCTCGTCTTTGACTTCAAATCCTCGTTGTTGTTGTCGACGGACATAGTTACTGAGCGTTCGGTCAAAATCTGGATGCTTTCCCTTCAAACGCTTGAGTGCTGAGCTATCTGGCTCCGGGTCTTGCTTGAGATACTGATCTTTGTGCCTCAACACCTTGGATACGGTGCTTGACTCAAACGTTAGTTTATTCTCGTCTGAGTGTAAAAGGGGGAAGAGTCTGAATAAAGTTTGGAGAGGTTACCTTCTTTCAACACCAAATTTTGCGCCGATGTCTGCCTGCCTTGTGCCCGGGTTGTCTTCGTGATACTGGCACATGGCCCGTTTCTGCTCTGCGCTCAACGTCTTCCTTGCTTTCTCATGGTGCACAGGGGGTCTCGGCGACGGTTCAACTGGGGGCAGGCTGGACGCCGGCGCGATGGACAACGGAGGTGCAGAGTAGCTCCCTGATGGAGTTGGGTTTGTCAACTGACTCGGCCACTGCGTGTTCAGCATCGGCAACTGGTGATGGCCCATAAGCGGCGCAGGCTGGATTAGTTGATGCGTCGAGGGCGGAGGAATGGGCGGTTGGATGGGCGGAGGCATTCTGAGCGATTCTGATGGCATCCCGTGAGATATAAATCCGCCAAAGGTGGCGCCGTATTCATTCAGAGGGCTGTTTCCATAAGGACTCTGGCTATACGGACTGATGCTCGCCCAGTGGTCGCTGGAATACCCAGCTCCGTTACTCTGTACCATGGTAGCGTCCTGGCCCAGGTTGGCAGAACCGTGACCAGCAGTGTTCATTGTATGTATTCCAAGAAGTTAGTGGCCCAGTTCTATCGCTGGGTTTTGCTAGTTGCTGAAAAACTGAGCAAGTCAGCACTTGGCAAATAGTCTCTTGCCAGAAAACGGACAGGAGGAAGAGGAGAGGAAGAGAGAAGCGGAACGAGTGGGGGGTATTATCATTCATCCGTCAGCGAAGAGACAAAGTCCAAACCTTGTCTTGAGCCGTCATCAATGAGCCGGCAATAATATGTCAAGTATCGTTACGGGAAGCATTTGCCCAGAGCAAACAAAAAGAAGCGTACGAACCTCATGGACACTTATGTTACGGAGTGGCATAACCCTTTTTCCTTTAGAGGGGAGTGACTCTGTAGCAGACCAGAGGAGAAGGACAAATAAGTCGAGATGCTAAAGTATGATTGCAACGCAAACTAATGATGGACAAAGGTATCGCAGTATAAGCAAGTTTGTAGGAGTTTGAGAGCAAGAGAGAACCAAGATGGGTGATAGTAAAGAATGAAGTATCGGTGACAAATTTGCTGGATGAGGGGTGCTCTGCCGGATAATGTATCGCTACTTGGCCAGCTGTAGAGCAACGCCCTGGAGCAAGCAAAGAAGCAAAGAAGCACACCTGTCAAGGAAAGCCCTGCTTCTCACGTCACTTTAACTACTACTGAAGCGTGCAAGACCCGCTGGTGGGCTCTCTTCCGCGCGGTAACGGTCTGGTGAGACAATGACGGAACTTTTCTTCGCCGTTACTCGCTGCCTCGTGCTTTCGTGGGGGTGAAAATACAAGACTGCGGAGAAGGGAAACGACTCATGTCAGCCCTGGGCAAGAACAGAAAGTAGTCGAGGGGCGGTGATGCATCTAAGATGATAAACCAAGTACCGGCCCCGGGCCTGGCAGTGGAAGTCGTCGCACCGCGTGCTTGTCTGTGCGGCAAGCGAGTCCGTACAAGATCTGACAAGCTGCAGCAGGCCGATGCTGTTGGTCCAGGAGACGGCAAGCTCGGTGGTTTGCTGCAGACGAGCAAGTGGCCCACCAGCCAGTGCAATTGCTAGGTCTACCAAGCCGGGCTAGACTAGGGTATCCAAGCAGTATCCTCCCAGAGGCGTACAAGAGTGGCTCTTGTAGCTGTACTCGTCCTGGGAAGACGCTGAAGCCGGAGCGCATTGTCTGCGAAGGAAGCGGAACGTTGGCCGTGGAGGCAGGCATGCAGACGCATGCACGAAGAGGTCCTGTACATGTACGTCCAGGGGTCCTGATGCAGGGGGGCCCTGAAGAGGAGGGGGCGTGCGAGTCGGCAAGGTACTCGTAATGGGCGCCTCTCCATCGCGTGGGCGAACGAGTTACCTACAGGTATAAGTGAGTTGAGTCTGCGTGTGTCAGTCCTGACTTTTTAGCTTGCTTGTCTGCGTGTCTGGCGCCCTTGTTTGCTAGGGAGAAGACGGGTGGGATTCCGTCCCAGAAGGGAATGGACCTGAGAGACCAGAGGCCGGAATGACTGAGGGGTGCCTCTGGACGGACAGCCTAGGATTGGGAACGGGCCATGGATCATGGAGATTGGGCATGATAGGGCAAACATTGACCAACGGGTGACCAGGGCCAGCATGGCCAGAAGAGGCAGCGTCGGCGGGATCTGGGAACTCGACATGGGACCATATGTAGGTACAGGCAAACCCACACCCACTGATTATAGTAATATTGGTTCGTTGGCGGTCTCCTGAGCTTCTGCTGGCGCCGTGTCGCATCCATGCCGTCGGCCTTGTAAGTTGGGAAGTTTCCTTTTCTGCACGGCCTGTTGCATGATACAGGATTTGGGTACGAGTACTAGGCAAGGTAAGGTAGTGTAGGAA